TTCATATTTTTTCATATTTATATTTAATTGTGTTGTGGTTTGCAAAGTTGAAATGTAAATAGTTGGTTTTTGTATTATATTTATTTATTACATTTTATGTGGAGTGAATAAATAAAAGTATATTTACGGTGGCCCCTACAGACAAAGCACGTACAAACTCCAAAACACGTACAAAATACAACAGACGTACTGCAGGATGCTAGGGGCAGTGTTGAGCTTTTGTTACCTAGAGGCTACACAAGCCAGGAAGCACCAATGACCGGATTTGGTGTGTGGTAGTAACAGGTAAATGAACATTTTTTTTACATTATTTGAATATATATGAGTGCTTGTGTATAAATACACAAATAATACACATATGCTTTCAATTGTGTAATTTAAGTGATCTAGGTAGCTCTGTTTTGGAAGCTCAGTTAATGCAAGAAATGTGTTTTGGAGTTTGTACGTGCTTTGTCTCTAGTGGCCACCCTATATATTTATATATAAACTTATATAAATAAAACCACGTTTTTGTTTTTTTTTACATTAGTAATTCCTTTTGTGCATAATTTTATATTGTTGTTAATAATAAATTAATTAAAGCAAGAAAACAACCTGAAGAGCCGGTTGGGAGCTGAAAGAGCCGGTTCTCTAAAGAGCCGGAAATCCCATCACTACTTTCCGTAGCGAATGTTAACAACATTGTCTAATGAGTTTTGCTACTTTGACATTTTGATCTAAAACATCTGCAAATATTTCTTATTAAAATATGCAAGTTATCAAATGAAACAGAATGTACCTGTTAAATAAACATGGTTTGTTTTTTAATTCAGGCAGATTATTGTTTGTTTGCAGCTTATTAGACAATAGTTGTTAAAGTTGAGCAGGATCTGAAACGTGGTCATACTTATCATCATTAACATTTAAATTTACAATAATGGATTACAGAGCAGTAAGGAATAGATTTCATCACAGTAGATGTTTTTCTTAAAGTGCTGTATAAATTTAAGAATATAATCCACCCGTTGTTATAATCGTCAATGCCCTGTACCAACATAGAGCAGAGCAGCTACCTGGACGCTATTCCAACAGGGGTCGATTATCTTGTTAATAATTTTACCTCTTTACTAAGTACGACTCTGGATACTGTAGCTCCTGTGAAAAATAAGGCCTCAAATCAGAAGTACTTGACTCTCTGTTATAATTCTCAAACATGTGGCCTAAAGCAGATGACTCGTGAGCTGGAGAGGAAATGCCATGTCACAAATTTAGGAGATCATCATTTAGCCTTGAAAAATAGTTTGCTTCTTTATAAAAAAAAAAAGCCTTCTGTAAAGCTAGAGCATCTTACTATTCATCACTGATTGAAGAAAATAAGTACCAAATTCAGTACCATTGATATTTATTCTTTAAAAAAAACATCTCTTGACTCAGCTGTCTTGGCTAATTATAGGCCAATCTCCAACCTTCCTTTCATATCAAAAATCCTTGAAAGAGTAGTTGTCAAACAGCTAACAGATCATCTGCAGAGGAATGGCTTATTTAAAGAGTTTCAGTCAGGTTTCAGAGCTCATCACAGCACAGAAACAGCTTTAGTGAAGGTTACAAATGATCTTCTTATGGCCTCTGACAGTGGACTC